TTTAAATATCATATAAACATTAAATTGTTCCCACTCTTCTGACTAAGGAGCACTCCTTGCCTTTCTTCCCCTTTCCCCTTATCAAAGTTGCTAACTCTTTGTCTATCTTTTATATACTCTTTTTCAGTCAGTCTTCTTTTTGCAAATTCCAGCTAGTTTAAGTAGAAAATGAATTTATTAAAAGATGCTGGCCCTGGCTAGCATGGCTCAGTTGGAAGGGCAATGTCCTGTGAACCAAGAGGTTGCCGGATTGCCAGTCAGGGCACATGTCCAGGCTGCAGGCTCATCCCCAGTAGAGGGTGTGGAGGGGGCAGCCAATCAGTGTTGCTTCTCACATCAGTAGTTATCTCTCTCTCTCTCTCTCCCTCTCCCTTTCTGTCTCTCTAAAAAAAAAAAAAATCAATTTAAAAAATCTTTTTTAGAAAAGATATTAGGTAATTCATAAAACCTAATAAATAAAATCAGTCTTGGAAGCCACACTTGACTGCTCCATAGAGACTCTATGGAGCCACTGCCTCTGGGCCACAGTACTGCCAGTCCCACCCCAGGACAATCGCTACTACTGGGACCCTTGTCACTGCCGCCTCCCTCAGGCTTACCCAGAGTGGAGGCCCAGATGGTTGAATAATTGCATCTGATTGGCAGAGTCTTTGCAACACCACAGCTGCAAGAGAAAGTGCACAGGTGAGCTTCTGACTTCCACCTTGGGAGGCAGGAGACAACAGGAGAGGAATCCCACAAGCATAGAAAAGCTGTTGAAGGGTTTCACATGGTCAAAAGATCATGGCCATTTCACTCTGCTCTGTTTTTTTTTTTTTTTATGATCCCCATAATGCTAATCAAATTGTGTTTACTTGGGAGTTTCTAGAAACAAAGAAGCTGAGGGCCAATAACAAACCACAAATTATTGATTCTCTCAGCTGTCCCCTCCCTATTTCTGGGGATATGAAGAGTATTATACTGTACAAGGATAGAACTGTATTAAGCTTACAGCATATAGGTTGATTGCTCAATCCATTGATTAAAGTTATTGAATCCCAGAACATTTGCAAGGAATTAAATAAATATGTGAATATAAATATGAATAGATATAGATATATAGCCATAGGAATAGGTATAAGGTGTAAATATAAATATGATCTGTGTTTTTTGTTCTTGGAACTCATGTCTTAATTAGGAAATCCGTAACGTAAACCACTAATTATAGGCAACATGAGAAGAGCTTTAACAGGAAAGATGCAGACACTGTATACATGTGTAATATTTAGAGATATAAATTCTAACATCTGTAATAGAAAACCCAAGATTAAAAGTACTGTTCGATAATACCTATATCACAAACATATTGGTAAGTCTGTTTTGTTATCCAGGTGACTGGAGATATGTCAATAGACTGTTGTGTGATGCTGATAAGTTCAGACTGCTCTGTGTGCTTTCAATTTTTATTCATAGTTGGTTTTTAGATCTTGCATTGCCTTCAAATCATTTCAAGGTTCATTGTTATTCAGACACTCACTGTAAAATGAAATTTTAGATCATAAAATGTCCTTGAAAATAGAAACTTCTTACTATGATACTAATGTTTTACTTTTTAGTCTTAAAATATTATAGTTTTTAATTTACATTTCTCATGTATACTCATTTAATAACCAACTCTAAATTCAGTAATCACATTTTCCCCTAAGCTTTGATTAGAACAATTATAGTGAATGAAAATAAGAAAGTAATTTCTGTAAAGAGATTCATAAAGCATCCTTTTCAAGCCATAAAGCAGCCTTCGAAGTAGGTTGTTGTTGGATTTTTGTGGGGTTTTTTTTCAGCATTAGGGCTACAAAAATCATTCTTTCTGTTCTGCTTAAAATACACAGATCTACTACTCTTTGATTGTCTACTCATCTTCTTTGTCTTTATCTTCTCTAGTGAATGAGTCTCAGCAGAAGACTCAGCATACAAAAGTGCCCGATGAAAACTGCTGAATGTCTGTCTGGCCCTCTTAGCTAGACTAAGAAGGTAGGAGCATCAGCAGAAAGTGTCCTCTGATATAGACGCCAATAACTGAATTTCTACCTCTACCCCAATTTTTCTTTAGCCCTAAACTCTCTTGGCCAATGTTTACTGTTGGTTTGCCTTAAAGAACAAGAATGTACAACAGCACACACCTAAATGAAATCTCCGTGAAGATTACCACACCAACATAATGTTATAAACTGATCAGTAACACATGGCTCACTACACTGAGCCCTGAAGATAATATTACCATCATTTCCTTACACGGACATCCTGAATGTGGCGTTTTTTTTAATGTCAATAAAATGTATAAGGAAAAAAATAAAGAACACAAACACTGTGATTAGCAGAGTTATTTTAATTACATCTTTTACGCCATTGAGCCATTGAGGTAAAACCAAGCCAAAGCATGAGATACATCTCATAAAGGCCCAACGACTTTGAACAGTCTCCAGAGCTTGGTTGGGGAATGAGACAATACAGTTTTTTGCATGTGGATCACCCAAACTCAGATTCTCCTCTGAAGAGGTGAAAAGATTGAGGAAGTGAATTTTCACTTATATCTTTATTCTTTCATTCCCCAACTTCCTCAGATTTGCCCCCATACACACATACACTCAGACATATCACACATATACACATATACACACGTACAGTCACACACACACACAAGTAAGAAAGAATATATGTTTTGTCACAGGTAATGAAGGCCCCAAATTACAGTTCCTTAAAGGAGACAGAAGTTTGCTTCTCTCTCAGATAAAAATCTGAATGTGGGCAAATCGTCTTCTGCTCCACAAAGCAGAATGTCCATGTCTCGACTCCACCTTGTGTGGCCCCCATCCCCACGGCCATTGCTCCAGCAACCTTACCTGAGCCCAGCCAGCAGGAAGGGTGAAGACAGAGAAGGGAAGGGCCAGGAGCAGAGCATCTGTCCTTTACGGACATTTCTCAGACCTACCATACAGCACTTCTACTTATATTTCTTTGGCCTGAACCTAATGATATGGCTATACTCAGCCACAATAGAAACTCAGAAATGTCCCTTTTATTTTTCATAGTGTGGGCCTAACAGACATATTTAGGTGTTATCACTGAGAAGAGAAGGGAGAATGAACACTGGCAGACAACCAGCAAGCTGCCATGGGACTCCTCCCTCCCCCCTCTGCTATGATATAATGTGGGGAATCTCATTCTTGGAGGTCTCAGGGAAGATTCCTTTCTTTGTTCTGCCCACCCTCTTCACCTCTTAATCCATTGTTATGTATTCAAACACATTTCTGCTCAAAGGAGAAGTGAGGAAAGCAATCAGTGAAGGGTAGATCAACTGTCACTATTTAAACTACTGAGTAGAGTAGTCCCTCCTCATCTGCAGTTCTGGTTTTTATGGTTTCAGTTTATCCAAGCCACAGTCTGAACATATTAAATGGAAAATTCCAGAGATAAACAATTTATACGGGTTTTTTTTTTAATATATTTTTATTGATTTTAGAGAGAGGAAGAGGGGAGAGAGAGAAAGATTGATCCCTGACCAGGAATTGAACTGGCAACCTTTCATTGCACAGAACAATGCTCAACCAACTGAGCCAGAATGGCCAAGGCAACAATTCATAAGTTTTAAATTACATGCCCTTCTGAGTAGCGTGATGAAATACCACACTGTCCCAGTCTATCCTACTCAGGACGTGAATCATCCCTTTGTCCATCACATGCATGCTGTACATGCTGTCCACCTGTTGGTCACTCAGTAGTCAAGTGGGTTATCACATCAACTGTCTCAGTATCACAGTGCTCGTGTGCAAGTAATCCTTACTGTATTTAATTCTGGCCTCAAAGCACAAGAGTAGTGGTGCCATAATTTGGATATGCTAAAGAGAAGCCTAAAGTGCTTCCTTGAAGTGAAAATGTATGTATCTATGTATAGGAAAAAACACAGTATATATAAGGTTCAGTACTCTCCTCAGTTTCAGGCATCCACTAGAGGGTCTTGGAATGTAATCTTACAGATAAGGAGGGACTACTTTGCTACAAAGTTGAATAGGGGAGTCTGAGCCTAATTCTAATCCTCTGCTTGTGTGTTTGCTATCTAAATTGAGAAGACAGTTGGTTTTAATTGAACACAAAATCTCCTGTTTGATCCTAAGCATTAGAATAGGATTTTCATTTGCTGGTAAGTGGATTTTGGATTTTTTCCCAAAAGATGTTAAACTGTAGTGATAGTTACAGTATTATCTTATTCAGGTCTGGAACAAATATACTCTGGAGAGAACCGACCTCTGTGGGCAGCAGAATCAGTAATTTAAATACAAATGTAAGCTGCACACATAGCCCTAGTTATCTAGGCATTTGTTCTCACACTTCACAAAGCACCAGAGGTATCTTTGAAATCTCTAGTTTCAAAAAAGGGAGCAAAGCACCCAGAGCTGACCCACGCCCACATACCCATTCCACCTGTATGTTGTATACTGGGCTTCTTATGAGACATTGTTTGAAAATATGTTTTAAATATTTGACCTCATTGTTCCCAGCCTGAATTCTATTTCTTGTGGATTTTTTCCTCGTGGATATTATAGCCTTGAAGTTCCTTGGCCTTTGGGGAGCTAATGAAGAAGGGTAAAAAGAGAAGGGACATATGGGAACACTTCTGTGGACTTGTCATCATGACATATTTTTGCAACTTATGTAACTTATTTAGAAATATCACAACGATGCTTGCAAAGTAGATTCTCAGTATGTCTTGATTAGTGAGATTATATTAGCAAGTATGTTTGTCTCCTGGGCAGTCACAACCTATCTATATAATTGAAATTATTTCTGTTTTTATAAGTAATTTTTTTTAATTAAAAAAAAATTTTTAATTTTACTTTCTAATTTTTAACATATTTTTATTTTGTGAATATATTTGTTGCCTGAGGGGGGAAAAAAACCTGAATATTTCTGTCTAGGTCAACATACACAGAGGAAATGATGACCGACTGATAAGACATGGTCAGTTTGCATATTATAGCTCCACCGCAACTTTATTTTGTTATCAGAATCCTCTCAGCAGACCACTGCATCTGTCAAATATTCCATGGGGACCCAATAAAAGAGCAAACGCATTTGTAATCTTCGTGACAAAAGTTCAATCTTTTCTTTCTGGTAGATCAGCTACTTCAGTAAAACTCACATCTCTAAAGGAACAGTTCCGGGGTCTATTCTAAATAAAATATTCCAAGAATTTATTTCTCTCAGCATCGGTTTCTTCGTTTTCCAGCTCATATTTCTTCATGGCAACAAAATACCGAATGAAAGTTTCTCCTAGAGCCTGTCTCAGACACTGATCTTCCTCCAGCGCCACCAGGGCATCTTGCAGTTTCAAAGGGATCTCAGAAGGCTTCGACAGAGACAGCTCTGTGCTGTCCTCGCCACCAACCAGGCCCCCGTCGCCGCTCTGAAGTCCATCCAGACCGGCTGCCACCGTGGCGGCCAGGACCAGGTAAGGATTTGCTGTGGCCGAGCCCAGTCTGTTCTCTATCCGAGTGCCCTTCTCACCGTGACACTTGACGTTGAAAGCACAGCTGTTATCATTATAGCCCCACGCGGTCGGCACACGCTCCTCCTGGGCTGGCTTCTCCTTGGAGAACCGCCTGCGGCAGCGGGCCGCGGGGGCCGAGAGGCAGCTGAGCGCCGCCGAGTGCTTCAGGAGGCCGGCCAGCCACCGCCTCCCCGCGGGGGTCAGCTGCCCGCTGCCACACCCGCCGCAGAACAGGTTCTTCCTCCCGCCCACGTCCCACAGGCTGTGAGACAAAATTCCCGAATTGCACGAGCCCGTCTCCACGACAAAGCTGGTGATGTAATTGTATTTCCTGGCCACTTCTTTGACACCCGTTCTGAAGGTAAAGGCGTTGTCCGCTGAACTGATGCCGAATTCGGGCAGAAAACAGATTTCCACCTGACCAGGCCGGGTGGAGGAGGAAAAGCTCTCGACATTGGCTCCAGTGTGATACAAACCATCCACGAGCTCCTGGATGAAGGGCTGGTCGTGATTATTCAGCAGGGTTGATGCCGGGAAAGATAGGGTCTTGGAATTGATCATTTCGGGCACCCCGAAAATGCAGAAATCACAGATGAAAGCAGAGAGCAGGGAAAAGCCCGAGTCCTGAAGCTGGCTCAGCTGCCTCTTGGCGATGTATCTGGGGGAAGTCAGTAGAGGTTCCCCTGTCACAGTGAATGTGTCACATATCACTCTTGCTGTTCTCTCGGCCCATGGCAGAACTCGGAAGGTTGATAACTCTGGCATCAGGACTATATCACTGTTAAAACATGTGGCTCTTATGTGATCCATTTCATTGTCCTTGGGATTCGGTATCAATTCAAGGTAACCTCGGGGCATGAAAACACCATAGATCACTTTTTCCTGAAGAAGTTAAAAGGATAGAGCAATTAGGTTTTGAAACTTGAAAACAAACAAAAAAAGGACTTGGGGCTTGCTACTGAGGGGGAAAAACAAGTGTTTAACATCTCTCAGTTAACATTAATTTTAATTTTTGGAAATAAAATTCCAATGGAACTTTTATAAACTACTGATTTTTTTTAGCCTTATACGCTTCATGTGCCCTTGAATCTGAAAGCAGCAGTCATAAATAAAAGTGTAATGATAAAGAAAATGTCTTTATAGCACATGATAAACGTAAAGTAAAGCCTTATGGACTTATTTTAAAAGATCAAAACCAAAAGTACGTTTTAAAGCTCTTTTTATTTTATGGCATAGTTCCTAATACTTCAGATGAGGCTTTCTTTTGGCTTATCCTGTTGTAATCCCCGTAGTTAACTGACTCTCAAAAGTCTCCAGTAAAGAGTTCTCAGTCCTTCCCAGAGAGCTGATTGTAGTCAGCCCTACGGGACACAGAATGGTCATCCTAACACCAGAGAAGCCCGGTCTGCTAACGGCCGTGTCCCTCTCTTCCTTCACTTCTATAACCCACTAAGAGTGAGCTACTTCACAGTCTCACGACATCCCAAAAACCTTCTCGTCAGTGTGGACCTGTATCTCCTTGGTTATTGTTTCCAAAATGTTGTAGCCTTCAAGTCAGAATGCAGTAGGTGGGAGCGGTATCACCAAATGTGACTCCTAGTCCTGACTCTTCCATTAATTGTTTGTGTAAAGTTAGGCAAGTTGCTGGACTATGTAGTTTGGCATCCATGTCTGGGAAACAGAAGTGTTAGAATAGGTGATTGCTAAGGTACTTTCTAGCCATATATCTCTTAGGTTCAATGGATTTGGTCAATTGTGTAACTGTCTATGTGCCAAACAACAGGAAAGTAAAGAGGTTATAAAAATCAAACAAATGCAAAAAACAATTTCTAGAAATTGTGCAATAGGAATATCAACAAGGCTTCATGTGTTGAAGGTTACATAAATGGGTGGAGAAAAAGCTGACTATAAAGTTTGGTTCCCATGATGTCAGTGAGCATTATGAGGTTAATAAAACATACTGACATTCTGCAAACCAGATTGTTTCTTATATTACCTCCAAAGCTCAAGGGCATGGCTACCAAAGAGGTGCAGGTGCTAGCAGATGAAATCTGCTAGTCCACTCTTCTGCCTTTGACCTTGAGCCACTTCCTCCTTAGCTCTCTACCATCTCTTCACATATTTTCAAACGCCATTTAACTTGGCTGATCCAAATCTGCTTTTACGAGTGCTAAAGCTGACTAAAGCTAGCACTGCTCATTTGCTGCTTAATCTTTCAACTCACTTATGGACTTGTATATATAAACTTTACACACACACACACATTGTGAGCTTTTTAAAGTATTTTAGTATGAAATCCTTTAATTCAAATTTTCACTGTAAGAAATAATGTGATTTCTCTAGTTTGTCAATTTTTTTTGTTGTTTGAAAATCTGTATCTAAAATGAGGGGTATGTATTTTATTCATGAGACTTCCAAGAGCTCCTGCAATTTAAATCTGTGTTTGCATTCACTTGGTTGTGAACAATAGAGAACAGCTTGCTACCATTTTATCCTTCATGAATTTAAAGAATAGGAAAAAGTCACGCTTTGTTCTTCAGGTTATTTAATTTGTATTTTTCTGAGCATTAGAAAACTGTCGTTTTCTTTATTCATTTACTCTTTACTCAAAGAATAGTGAACATTCAGAATGAACACTACTCTTTATTAGTAGTGGGAAATATATAAATATATATACATAGATCTTATTCATGACAATTGCTATCTTAAATTATGTTTATAAATATAAACATTAGGACAACTTCACACTGCAATATAAATCACCAGGGACTCAATAAAAATTCTTACAGAATAGCTCAAATAACTATGATAACTGAAACTTGAGCCATAGTAAAGGTCACCTTCTGAAATAACCAAAGTTATTTGTTCTATATCAATATATCATGTTTTGATTAAATCAAATATAGAAAGAATCTATATTATCTCCATATAATTTGAATATAAACCAATCCTTCAGTAGAATAGACAGTATCAGTTGGTTATGTGGTTTATTTATTTATTTTTGTTAATCCTCTCCTGAGGATATATTTCCATTGATTTTTAAGTAGAGTGGAAAGGAGGAAGAGAGTGGTTGAGAGAGAGAGAGAGATCTATCGGTTGCCTCCTGCACGACCTCAACTAGGGCCAGGGATCAAGCCTGCAACCCAGGTACATGTCCTTGATGGGGAATCAGACTTGGGACCCTTCGGGCCATGGGCCCACACTCTAACTGCTAAGCCAAATCGACCAGGGTAGTTTCTGTGGTTTAAATAAACTAATGTTTGTAAGGCATTAAGCACAGTGCCAGGCACATGTGAGTTTTCTTGAAAAGAAGATACCATAATTATCAGAGGTTCCCATTTGATCTTTTCCAATTATGTAACAGTCTTTTTCTCTGTTCTTAGAAGATAGCTTGTTTTTTTAAAATTACTGTTCTTCAATTTTATAAGAAAGAACACAGCTCCAATTAACAATAAAAGAACATATAAAAGCAGAGCTGGAGGCAGAAGTTGCAGTTAAAAAAAAATCAGTGGGAATGAAAGTGAGGAAAACTGACTGACGTCCCAATTCTACCACTAACTGCCTGCACTATTTTTTAAAAGCTTTTCATAAGTCTCCTGGGTCTTACTCTCCTCATCTATGAATGAAAATCTTGGATTAAATTATCTGTTATAGCCTTTCATGGTCTAACAATAATTTTCAAATTGATACTTTATTTTTCCCAAATAAAAAAAAATGTTTTAAAATTACTTTATGAAGATTAAAATTACTTTTCTCTAAGCCATTGGCAAATTCAAATTATTGATTCCATTCTTTGTTTAATGAATTTCCCATACAGAATTGTACACACACACACACACACACACATACACACACACACAAGCACACAATGCTTAAATTGGTTTGCACAGATGGACCTATTTTTAATGTCTGTTCATGATAAATTTTCCAAAATGAATTATTTAGTATTAAATTATAAATATTCGTGATGCAAATACTTATTTTTATTTATACCTTCAAGAGTTCCAAAATAAATTTGAACTGTTTTGTTAAAAAATATATAGATGCAATATAATCATTAAATAAGAATAAAGTAATAACTAGGTAATGAAAAGTGTAATGAAATGTATTAGAGAACTAGGGTTAAGAATAAACACCAATTGAGATGAAGTATAATGAGTTACAATAAAATGTTTATGCTAGCCCAGCTGGTGTGACTCAGTGGAGTGAGCATCGTCCCATGGACTGAGAGGTCCCAGTTCTATTCCTGGTCAGGGAACATGCCCTGGTTGCAGGCTTGATCCCCAGTCAGGGGCATGCAGGAGGCAGCCAATCAATGTTTCTCACATTGATGTTTCTATCTCTCTCTCCCTTCCTCTCTCTCTAAAAACTAAAGACATATTAAAAAAAAATAAATGATGTTTCAGTAGCACAATAAACCTGTCATTAAAATAAACACATGATATAAACTGGAAAAAAAATCTTAAAATCTTAGAGCATATCCAAAAATACAATATCTCTTGATATCACTATTTTCAAGAACTTAATATTCATTAAGTCATCCAACAATAGAGTATTTTCTTATCACAATTAGAAGATTAAAAGAATATGCTTTTTATCAGCGAATTCTTTCTATTTAATTATTTTTTTTCCTTTTATACTTGCTCCTTGGTCTTCTGTTGCAATTTTCTCATGTCAAACAAAATATAATCTTCATAATTGCAATAAGAAAGAAAAGAGAATTCTGTAGAGAGAAATTATTCAAAGCAGAAGGACTAAAATTACCAGTCTTAATTAGTTTTATATTTCTATTGGATAAAGGAATAGCTGTTTGGGAACTGAAAGTATGTGTTCAGCTCTCTGGGGAGTAATAATATGTTTGGAGAGGAACAATGGAAGAAACAAAATAAAGTATTGGTTTTCGGCTGAACTTGGTGCATGTATTACAATAAAATAAAAAAGAATAATAAAGACCATTTGCTTGCTAATGGTCATGAAATTACATTCAGTCATAACTCTGCTTGTAAAACTCACTTGGAAAAAGTGTGCAGGGATACTCTTAGACCTGGACACCCCATGGAGATCTGCTGCTTCAAATCGCACAAACTGAAGGCGATTTTTGGCCATCTCTTGTTTAATGTGCTTCATTCTAGAGGAGAGTTGAGGTGCTGTTGGAATTTGTTCACTGTCCCTGGTGTTGTCTGTAAAACAAAGAATCGTTTTAAAGCATTAGATCATGAGATGAGAAACAAAAGGAGTCTAGAGAACAGTGCATTATTCATTGTGATGATTAACAAAAGCATCAGGTATTCGTGTCAATGGCTTAGAGTTGGAGATCTTACCTTTCCTACTTGGTCTTTACCCGTAGTTCCAAGAACACCAACTCTAAACAGCCTAAAAGATTGTTTATCACTTGGACTAGGTAAAACTTAACATTATTTACAAAAGTAGATAGCAACATCATATGTAAATACCTACTGAAATCCCTTTGCTTATGGAAATTAGAATATATTTGCATAGTTGGACAGCCTTGGCATCATATAAATCTGTATATAGATGACTGCCATTGAAAACACTTTGAGCTTCTTGAACTAACTGATAATACCTAAATTAAAAGTTCCTGTATGTTTCTTTGTTTTGTTTTGTTCTGTTAGCCAAAAGGACTTTATATCTTTAAAATGTCATCTGAATCTATAGCATCTACATTTTCCTGTCAAATTTACAATTTGTGTAAATAAGTAAACCAAAATATTTTTCAAAAATAAGAGTGTAGGAGATGAAAAATCTGGACTAAGTACTCAATTTTAAAATTACAAACCCAGCCCTGGCCAGTTTGGCTCAGCAGTTAGAGCATCGTCCTGCAGTCCAGAGAGACACGGGTTCGGTTCCCGTTAAGGGCGCATACCTTGGTTGCAGTTTGTCCCCGGCCTTGGTTGGGTTGTGCGGGTGGCTGCCACTTGATGTGTCCCTTTCGTGTCGATGTCTCTCTCTCTCTCTCCCCCTCTTCCTCTCTCTCCCTCCCACTCTATCTGAACAAACAATGGACAAATGTTCTCAGGTGAGGATAAAACAAGCAAACAAACAAACAAATAAATAAAATTACAAACCCAGAACAACCAGAAAAGAAAAGATGAAATGACAAAATGACTATAGGAAGTTCCCATATATCAACAATCACTCTAAAATTAGAAACAGAAACAAAAAAATATTATTTTCAAGATTTTTAATATAGTCTTCAAATTCTAAAACTTTAGAATTAGAAGGGATTTTGGAGATAAATAATCTAATCTAATCAACTCATTAGCTTGAGTCCCAGAGAGGTACTATGAGGTTCCCCCAAATCACATTCTCAGTTTATTGCCAAAATTGAAACTAGAGTCTGAACATTTGATTTTCAGTGGGTGGCTCATCACTATAAAATGACTGAATAGCCCTGGCTGGTTTGGCTCAGTAGTTAGCATTAGATTGCAGACCAAAAGGTCTCTGTCTCTATTCCCAATCTAGGGTACATACCTGGGTTACAGGTTCAATCCCCAACCCTCCATCGGGGTTGTGCAGGAGGCAACCAATCGTCAAGGTTTCTCTCTCTCTCCTTTCCTCCCTTCCGAAACTCTATCTAAAAATCTGGAAAAAAATCCTTGTGTGAGGATTAACAAAACAACAAAAAAGACTAAATATATACAAAACAAATAGAAGGGTCATGCATATAGCACTCATCATAAATGTTAACTACTGTCCAAACCTTTCGGAGACATAGTACACTGTAAGGATTCAGCACAAACACTGGAGCCCATCTGCCTCCCTCTAAATCCTACCTTTGCCCCAGCAACTTTCCAGTGCTCTCTGTGCCTCAGCTTTCTCATTGATACAGTATACCAGTAGGCTTGTTATGACGATTAAAACCTATATAGGCTTGTTATGACAGCTAGACAAGTTATTTAGCAGTTCCTGGAAGCCAGTAAACACCATATAAGTCCTTCTTCAATGCATAAAGTGAGCACAATTGCTGTAAGTCTAATAATGGTACTATGATTATATCTGATTTGAACACCCATCAATTTGTCGCATCACTGACATTGAGCAGCTATAATTTAAAGTGATACCTGAGTATCCTTTTTGACATATAATTAGGCTTTAAAAATAAGCATAGAGATTGACAGTTTTAAAATATAGATTAAGTAGATTTAAAGTACATGAAGCATGAGGAAAACAAATTACTGGTTCCACCTATGCAAATTTATTAGAGATAATGTCCTGTTACTGATATATTTGGCTACTCTGAGACTCCTGAGGGTTTATAACTACCTCCCATTTAACACAAACAATTAAGCTGCAGCAATTATAGTATTTCATGCTAAAGTAGCAGTTGCTGTGTTCCCAACCTGTTCTGAATTATTGGATATTCCACCTAAGTTAAATAATTCTCCTTAAAGAAATAAGATTTATAGGCATTTTAAAATATGGAAAATTTCAGATAATCACTATTATAAACATCATAAGCAATTATATATAAGCTATAAATATTTTAACAACATAAAAAAACCAGTATGCATCTCCTAATAAAGAAATAAGGTCATTTTATTTGTTCACCAGTAATAAGATTACAGGTAATCCTTTTAGTTCTTCACCTTATCTGTATCTTCTAAAGTTTCTACAATAAATATGTATTATTTTTAAATAAGAAAAATGTCAATCCACTCAAGATAGATTTTTTTTTTTTAAGTTATCACTACTATTTATACTGGACATAGTCTAGGAAGCAGCAGAAATATTCCTGCCCTCATACAGCTTTGTATTATTGAATGAGGGAACTATAGACAATAAACATGCCATTGAATGCAAAGCTGAGATATTTAAGGTGAAAGGTGATTAAAAAAAAATTGAGTAAAACATAATCACCAGAAATATTAATTCTATGAGATTGGATCACAATGTGCACAGGTCCACTGATTTAGTTTAGGATCTATGGCTAGAAAGAGAGTACATGTATTAGTTTGCTAGGGTGGCCATAACAAATACCACAGACCAGCTAGCTTTAACAGAAAAAAAATTTTTATAGTTCTAGAGGGTAGAGATTCAAGATCAAGGTGTCAGAAGGGTTGGTTTCCTCTGAGGACTTCTCCTCTTGGCTTATAGATGTCTATCTTCATTACATGGTCTTCCTTCTATGTGTGTGTGTATGTGTGTGTCCTAATCTCTTCTCGCATAAGGACACCAGTCATATTGGACTTAAGGGCCACCCTACACAACTCACTCAACATGAATTACCTCTTTTAAAATCCCATCTCCAAATACAGTCACATTATGAGGTACTAGGGGTTTGGACTTCAACATATAGTTTTGGGGAGACACAATTTTGTCCATGACAACATATCCTCTTGTTCTCATTTCCTTCACAGTCCCAATCATCACCTGCATATCGTGGGCACAGTATTGTCTTTCTCCTCACATGGCAGCTCCAAGGGAGCAGGGTCTGAGCTGTGCTGGCTGCTCCACGCGTAGGACCGGTAGCAGTGCAGACATATCAGTGGCTTTAATAAGTGTGTATGTTATTCAATTAATCAATCAATCAATCAATACATGCTGTGTGATTTGACCTTGTCTAATTAACAAGTAAAAATTGGCATTACGTATTTTGGCATGTATCTTAAGTATCAACTTTTCATTTAAAAGTTTAATTCTTTCACCAACTATGAGAGCCCTATCCAACCTAATTTCATCTTCAAGGCAGTAACTAATCTTGCCGCATCATTGTCTGAATTTCTTTTCTTCAAATAAATCATACTTGTTAGTTATAATTAAACCTTTTGGTCAGCCCTTCTCAGATGCCCATGATGAATAGCAGGCAGATAATTGCCGGTTCAGGGGCTCATTTGTTTTTCTTAAAGTGTGGTTCCTGGGAGGTGTTCTCCTTTTCCATCCCCTCAGAGGACTAATAAATTAAATCAATGTGCTTTATAGAGGAAGTTTTACTGCTGTGAGTGTTTTGGGAGAAAAAATTCAGAAAATACATACAAAAAAAAAAAACCTCCAAGCTCTGTAGCAACTGGAAGGCCTGTGTTCAATGACAATGAGGACATATTTCAGTTGTAGAGAGCAAGCCATGATCACATAAAAGGCAGATGAAGTAGGCATTTGGGATTTTAGAAATATCAGTTCAGAAAGGAAAAAGTGCATGTCAGGGTGTACTCTGTAATTGTTCAGCTTACAGAAGGCCAGGGATAACCCCCCCTGCTCCCTTCCCAGGGCCAGCCCTCCTTCATCCACATGGCGACTCTGAAGGCCACCCTGCCAGTGAGAATGTACCCCGCCCTCCAGCCCTGTCAGCTAGCCCAGCAATATTGGCCATGTGGCGTGACAACCTGGTACAAAACAGGGACAGAAACAATAAAATGTGGAAATGAGGACAGGGGAGGGGGAGCTTTTCTGTTGAAAAAATATATATTCGTTTTTATTTATTTTTTTTTACACATTTACCTTTATTGTTGAGAATATTACAGCTAACCCCCACTTTCCCCCATTGCCTCCCTCTACCCTGTTCCCACCTTACCCCAGGCCTCCCCCACACTGTTGTGTGTGTCCGTGGGCTATGCATATCAGCCTTTAAGTTCTTTGATTAATTCAGAGTATGTAGCACAGAGAATAAAATACTATGCTGAAATTCTTTACACTTATTTGGCGGGCTGATTTTTATACTTAATTTTGTATTTAAAATATACATGAAGTTGCTTTGTTTGCGGTTGTAAACTTTTTGGTGCTTAGGGCTTAAAAAAAAATTAATCCTGCTGTGGGCCAGAGAGGGAATGTCTGAATTAACTAAATTAAATCAATAATGGTACCCAAACTCTTAGGTGATTTGTGCAAAGACAACTCATGACACAAGTTCTTTCCTCAGATTTTTTTGACTTGAGACTAGGAAATGGTAAATTCCATCTCTTTTTTGGCTAAAGATTAGAAACTGTTCTTGGAAGAGCCAATACGGCCAGCAGATGTTTTTGTATTAATCTTCCCAAGGTTTGAAAATTTTTTTGAGTTAGTTTACACTTCACTATCAAAAAATTTCATATAAAAATCTTGAGCTCAAGTTTCTGTTGATAAGGCTGGATTTGGAACACTAGTGGATATTTCTTCCTAGCAACCATTGGCTGGAGCTCTGAGGTGGCCTAGAATGGGACATGCATGCTCTAATCCATTGGTTGGCAAATACTATCTGTAAAGGACCAGATAGCAAATATTGGCAACTGTGCAGGCCATGTGGTATCTGTTGCAACTACTCAACTATGCCATTGTAGCACAAATCAGACATAGACAATACATAACTATTATTTACAAAAACCAGCCTGCAAGCTGAATTGGGTCCCTGGGCTATAGTTTGTCAACCTCTGCTCTAGTTTCTCATGGCCAACACAACTCCCTGTTTTCTTATACCAGCCCACCTCACTCATTTGTATCATTTGCCTGGCCCCTGTGGCACTTATGTTGATAATCCCTGATGCTCATGCTCTTCATGGAGAAATTAATGAAACCAAAAGCACAGAGGAATGCAGAGATGACAGATGGTGTGATAGGCAGAATAACCTCCCAAAGATTTTCACACCCTAAGCTCTGGAACCTGTAGATTATGTCAAACTGCATAGCAAAAGGGACTTTGCAGATGCTATATACAAATCTTAAATAGGAATATTGCTATGGATTATCCAGATGGGCCCTTAAAGGTAGAGAACTTTCTCCAGCTGTAGCCAGAAAAAATACTATTTTGTGGAAGAAGAAAAATTCAGAGAGATTCCAAACATGAAAAGGATTTAAGAATTGTTAGCTCTGAGACATAAAACCAGTAAGAGGTTTCTAGGAGCTAAGGGCCACCCAAGTTGAGAACCAAAAAGAAATAGAAACTTCATTCCTACAACTCTAAGGAATTGGATTTCCCAACAATCTGAACGAACTGGACATGGATGGTCCCTGGAGTCTCTAGCTAAGAACTCAGAGGTCCAATACTCTGATGTTGACCTTGCAAAACCCAAAAAAAGAGAGACAAGCTGAGCCAACCCACACTGCTGACATACAAAAGTATGAGATAATGAACTGTGTTCTTTCAAGATGTTATTTGTGGTCATTTGTTATGGTGAAAATAGAAAAGTAATATAAATATGGAGTCCTGACAGTGTTCACTCCCAGGTTCTACTTCCTCCTTAGACCCTATGTGTTGTAAAGAATTCCACCTTGCCCTAGGAGAGCCCTGGCCTTTACCCTCGTCCCCTGGGAAGTCATCTCTAAAGTCTTAGAATTTCCTGCCTGAAAAGAGTGTCTTTATTTACCTGGGACTTCTGGCCCTACTAGAAAGTTTAGCAATGTCATTTTTTATTGAATCATGTGGTATCAACTTGACCTCCCCAGTGGGGCTGAAAACGCAGGTCAGTCACATGGCCAATTGGCTGTGAAACCCTAACTGAGTCTGGACACCAAGACTCAAGTGAGCATCCCTGGTTACAACCCTGTGGACATGCTGTTACACACTGTTGCCAAGAGAATGGTGTTGTCCATGAGCCCACTGGGAGGAAGCAAGTGGAAGCTGTATGCTTAGAACTTTCCTGGACTTCCCCCATGAGTCACTTCCCTTGGCTGATTTTAATCTGTATTATTTCCTTATAATAAACCATACCTTGAGTATAATCACTTTATACTCAGCGATTTCTGTGAGTCCTTATAGTGAATTATTAAAACTAATCTTGGGGAACTCCCAAGCATGCAATTAGCGTCAGAAGTAAGCATTGCCTAGTGGTTACTGTCCCTCTAACTTCACAGCCTGCTATATATCTGACTTTCCAAACCTTGCTTATTCAACCCTTTCATCATGGATTTCCTTATGAGGGGAAAAAAAAAATACCTCTTTTGAACTAGTTTTATCATTTGGACCTCGGAGATTTTTAACTAGTACACTCATAGTCCAAAACAGCTTTATCACTATTAATAAGCCAGAACTTTAGAATAACAGAATTTCACTTGTAGAAAAGACTTGAAAGATCATCCATTACAACCTTCCATTTTCCAAACGAGCAGTCTCGTGTGTAAAGAAAACTGTAAAGCACTTTATAAATGATAGCTGTATAAATTCTTTTAAGTATTCTGACTCCCAGGCTAGCATTCCTCATCCAATATCATATTATCTCTAACCGAAATACAAATTTGGGATTAGTGGCTGGAACCATAGGCCCATTTGTCTCTGAGTCCTTACCAGTACAGCTGGAGTCTGGGTTGGATTCACCACCAGGAGCACTGGCTGATGTTTTGAGAGGCAAGGGTTTTACCTCTGTTGTCTGGTCCTGAGAGTCCTTCTCATCTCGTGGCAGATGACATTCAGCAGAGCCAGGTCCCACAGCTGGTTTGCTCGTATTCCCCAATTTGTGACACACCATTTGTTTTTCGATCCTTTCTGTAGTAACACAGGAAAATGCGAGGCATGTTGCCATTGTTTTTAACTGCCATTCAACATAATATGGAGAGAAATGTGACATACCAATTAAGAGGCAGCAGGCATAGTACACCCTGGTTGCAACAAGGGGGTGCATTGTCTCCAGAGAATTTAAAAATAATTTAAAAATCTATAAAAAGTCTGACTGTATTTTATCATTGCCATGCACTGGCCATTCCTACTGACCTGCCTTGGAAAACACCCCAGTTCCTAGAATCGAGTCTGTTGTCCACATTAACTCCTCACTTCAGCACTGTTCCAGATTCATTCGAGTCTGGCTGAACTTCCAACATGTGGTATGAAAACCTGCTCCACACTTTATCGTGGCCCCCCAGATCTTCAGTAATGATCTTTGTACTCATTTGCAGAAAGAAGTGTGCTTCTCTCCTTATATGTTTCTTCTGTTATGTTCTCTTTTCCCCACCATAGCTCCTCATTCTGCCCCCTTTAAATTCTGAATGTTTTGGCTGATTGTTTTCCTATAGGTACATCATAAGCCTACATTTGTCATCTTTTATATTGCCTATGTAGAAATAAATTTTACTTTTTTTGTTTCTTCCACAGGAAAAAAAGAAAATGTATTAAGAAAATGTGGACCAAATAGAGATTGTCATTGACAACCTATTCTTGAGGGATAATAGTAGCAAGATATTTGAGATTAAGAGTCTCACACCTTACCAACTAAACTAGATACCTTTTGAGTTGGATATATTCATTTCTCCTATTTCAGTTGAACAAATATGTGACTCAGTGACTTTCTTTCTTGTCCTTCTTAATTTATTCATCCTGCTGCGTTCTGTCTCATTACCTCCATCTCTTGCACCCTGTAATAATTAATAAACAAAAAAGTCCAATAAGAGATCATGACACAACTAAATTTCTTTATCAAGAAAGTATGATGATTGGATAGCTAAATTTTAAAATGAGTATAGGAGACTTTTATAACAAAGTAAATTGTCATTTCCAAATCCACTTGAATAATTCAAAATTACAAAGCCCAACATTCTGCAGGCAGACTGGGTATTTTGTACCACTTTCATAAGTGGTATGAAAAATATGATGAAATAAGTTAAGATCTTGTCCAACTAGTCAAGATTTCTATCCTTATTTTACATTATTTATTTCTAAATAATTTTACCAAATGCATTTCAACTAAAAAGTCTTCTTTTTATGATTTCTTTTTTGGGATCTCTAATGCTTTTGATCAGAGGCATAAGTACCTGAGAATTTGATTCTCTTCTCTCTTTTTTTCTTACCTCAAACTTATTGCATCAATATTTAGTGTACTTTTAAAAAGCACTACATAAAATACAATTTTGTGACTATGTTTTGTATGTGTAAGACAAATGTCTTCCCAAACTGTTTTGTAGTTTAAGCTATTTAAAGAAAAACATTTTTAAACAAAATAACCAAACCGCCTACACTCTACTTACCATCTTTGACAGGATCCCTTGAGAGACCCGTCAAGGGTTCTTTCCAACAGGAAACTGAACAGTGAAGCAGGGGCTGGGCGTGGCCACCAGCAGTGGACAGAATCACCCCTGAGCCCCAGGACACAAAGTCAATACCAAAAAATAAATTAATTAATTAAAGCGTCGTGAGTTTTTTTCTGACACTGGTCGTTTGTTTTTTTCCTTACAAAAACATTATGGTTTGAGGGGAAAGAAAGTGGCAGTGTTCAGGTCAAAAACTACATTCTAAAATGTTTGAACTATTTCCTTTTTGAAAGGCAAGCTCTGAGAAGTTCCATATCTGGGGGTGAGTTATACAAATACATGACCAGAGTGCCTGCTGGGACACAGTTGTATCCATTTGTCAATAAAACCAGTTCAGTCTCTGAAGACTGAAAGAGAGGGGAATTTTTTTGTGTGTGTTTATATATAATTATGATATATTATATTTGGTTCTATATTAGCAAAGATATATTTCACAAGATAAAAACTGTTTGGTTAAAGTTTCACACTTTATAATATTGTGGTCTCTTTCACTCCAGATAATCCTATACTTAGATCATATGTATGATACTTATTGTGAGAGAGTTTTTTTCTAGTAGTTTATGATTTTATTTAGATATTTGGTGTAAATTTCCCAATACACTTCTGATAGGATTCTGATAGAAACATACTAGCCTATTGTGCATATTTATCATTTCTAAAATGGCATTGCCAGAAATGTACATTATGTCATTGTGTTTTTGGTAAACAATTTTATAAATATATGTCTTTGCTTCTTTTTTTTTTTTTTTTAAGAATTGTTGTTTAGAAAATGAAATATTTAGCCAGGGATATAAATATCAAAGAAAACTGAGCAGACTAACATTTGTACTAGTTGGACTCTCTGGGGATTCCCTCATATATAGATTGAAGAAATCAAATGAGATAAACTTTAAAATTTCTTCCAGCTTCAAACTCTAAAATGAAACTGACATAAGAACACGCTAAAATTGAGCACTTGTCAGGCACATTTCCTCAGCATACCCATCAAGGTGGGTGAATTTCTTTACAAAGGATGGAAGTGAGACCCAGAACAACTCGCCCAAGGCCACAGGAGTGAATGAGATGCAGTTTGCAAACAGATCTTCTGATTTCCAAATGCCATTGTGCTTCTGAAATGCCAGAGATTCAAACCCAGAGAAAGTTCATTTTTGTAACATTCGCCTGTCTTCATATAACCCAGACTAAAAGAAAAAGTTTCTTAAGAAAACAAAGAAGTGTCCAGCCCGTATGGCTCAGTGTTTAAGCATCGACCCATGCACCAAGAGGGCGCTGGTTCGATTCCCAGTCAGGGCATATGCCCAGGTTGTGGGCCCAATCTCCAGTGGGGGGCATGTAGGAGGTGACCAATCAATGTTCTCTTTCATCAATGTTTCTCTCTCTCTCTCTCCCCCCTTCCTCTCTCTCTAAAATCAATAAAGGGGGGGGGGATAATTTACCTAATTACTAATCTAATAATTTCACCAGTAAAAGCTCAAGAACTAAGTCATAGTATGTGCCTCTGACTTCATAATAGATGTTCAAACAGGTTTTTGTCAGATGAATAATACATTCAGTTCAGTCCTTTGACTTTCTCTCATATATTAGGATGATCAGAGTATAGACAGCTATAATAGCTAAAACACATTTAGGGGATTCCTGGTTTTCTCACCTCCCGTAGAGTAATTTTATTCTAAATCTTTCCATTACCGTTAGTTACAATATGAATAATGTTTCATTAAAAAAAAACAAACCTATTAGCCAGGATTTGTGTGTTTTGGGTTCTAATTCTAACTTTTCATGTGAATAGCAAGTCCTACTGGAGCCTTAGTGTTTTCATCTAGAAACACTGCGATAAACACCATCATACTCAGCAAGTACATTAACATTTTACAAGTATTTCATAACCAGACAATATTTTATCTCATTTAATACTTACAACACACCCAGGAAACATTTGCTATTACCTACACTTTTGCCAAGGCAGAACTAGGTCCACAGGAGTTCAGTGATTTGTTCAAGGTCATAGACTACCACAGAGGAATGGGAATTATTTAGGGAGCTTCCCTCATCACCATAGCCTGACAGTTAAATCAAATAAAATTCCAATTCTAATGTTATCTGTGTGACTCATAAAAACTTATTCACTCAGTTTCTTAAATTACATATTCTTTTACAATGTTTTTTTTTGTGTGTGTGTGTGTTTTTAAACTCTTTCCTGTAAAAGGGTTTAAACCATCTTAACTCACCACCAGCTTAAACTTCATCAATCCAAATAATGAGGGCTTTGGGTAACCTACTATGGGTAAGGCAAAGGCAAAAACATAAGAATAAATAAAATATGATCCCTTCATAAAGAATCTTACAATCAAGAACAGGCAATAAAGTATAGTTAAGGGAGTTAAAGGCTTCCATGTTGCAAAGAAAAGCGATTCAGGGAGTTCAGGGATAGCAAACTCAAATTCCAGGCAGATAACAGAGAGACATCATGGACGAGATGGGGAGACCAGAGCAGACACCTCTTTCCAAGAAGAAGCCCACACGGGGCTTTAGCCAGTTGTTGCCATGACAAAATGCGGCCCAGGTGATGCCAGTTTTCCAGATCTCCCAGGAATGCCAGAAATCTGGATTTTTTTTTTATGTTAAATTTTATTATTTTTAAATCTTGACAATTAATTTAAAGTATAAAGTAGAGAATAAAGAAAAAAAGAAAATTTCTCAACTACCACATAGAAGATCTCAAAAAAGGCTGGAAGGCTGCTCAGAATCTGCAGCAGTTCCAGAGGGCCGCTGGGCACAGTGACAGCGGCAGTAACCGTTTTTCCCCCTGCAGCAATATCTAATACGGTACTGAGAGATGATGCCCAAAATACTTAACCATTAGCACAGCTAATAAAAATAACAAACACTTTTATTGTACCTATAATGCGTCAAGTCTCTTCTAAATGCTCTGTCTATATTAATTCATTTAGGCTCAAAACCATCCTTTGAGATAGATACATTATTATCTCCATTTTAGAGATGGGAAAAATTGAGTCAAAGAAAGACTAGGTAGCCCCAAATTACACATCTTGTAACTAGTAGAGCTAGAATTTGAACCCAAGTAATTGGCACCAGAGCACAAGTACTTAATGCATCCTAAACGTACACTGTCAGTAAGAATGCCCAGGGTGCTGGGGTGCTGGGAGGCAAGAGCAGAATCCTAGAGAGCTCCTGCAGGGCCAGGTGTTAACTCCTTGGTTCATGGATTGTGGACAGGCCCAAGGGCCCTAGGGGAACAGTAGGACAGCTAGAGAAGTTTGGAGGGTTTGGGGAGATTCTTTGCAGCTGTTTACCTACTAATTTGGAAATGTTCCTCAAGCAGTCAGCAATGCAGTTGCAATTGACAAATCTTCCGTTGCACCAAGCAGTGTCTGGTGCATGGTAAGTACTAAACAGATGTCAGTCGTAATTGTTATTACCCAGGCACCATGCATTACTATGGATCTCTGCTGAGAAGATGCCTCATTTTAGGCTACCTCATGGTGCCCTAACTTACATGGCTCCATTGGATGAAGCTCTAATTTCTTCTTTTTTTTTGTTTGTTAATTGTCACCCGAGGATACTATTCCATTGATTTTTAGAAAGAGTGGAAGGGAGGGAGAGAGAAACATCGATGTAAGAGAGACACAGCAGTTGATTGCCTCCCACACAACCCTGACTGGGGCTCGAACCAGCATCCCAAGTACATGACTTTCACTAGGAATCAAACCTGTGACCCTTGGTCCACAGGCCAATGCTCTAACCGCTGAGAAAAACAACCAGGGAAGGCTCTAATTTCTAATCTAAGCAGCTTCAGATTCTGAACTCAATAAATTAGAGGAACCACTCAGATAGGTGAGGTTATGTCAAGTAGTCTGAGGGTTCTCAGAGGGAGCAGTGGGTCCAACATTCTCATACTTGGACTCTTCTCATACTTGGACTCTAATGCTGCTATTATCGAACAGGCAGGATATTTTAGAAATAGAGTCTTCAGACAGTCAGAGAAACTAGGCCAAGCTTAAGCAGAAAAAAAGATCTCCTGAGCTGAAGATAGAGATGGGTGAAGTAAACCAGACTGGAGAAACATGAGCATAAGCACTGATACTTACTTTCATTTTGATCACATAGCATAAATATGCAAATCTAATTCATGCTTAATGTAGATGACCTCACAATTCTACTGCAACAGGTTGATTCTGATTTCTTTTGACATTTCCACCCAAGAAGCTTTTTCCATTTCAGAAAAGTTCCTGTCATTTCATCAGGTGGCTACTTTGTCTCATACACAGGAATGGCCTTACAGAATGTTTTCTGTTACAAGATATTTTCACAATTCATGTTTTTCTCATCATAGTGTTGCTTTTTAAAGTTGTTTATATGGATTAATATAACTTTGTCATTTTGCATTTCTACTCAATGGCTTGATCAAATTAACTAAAAGAGGTTTAACTTAAAAAGATTCTGCCAAGCATTAAATATAGACCCTAATTTGACCTAATAAGTTTCCTTCCAATAAAGTAACCAGTGTTATTTACATTCTAAATATCACTGATTTCTTCATTTACTTTTAATTTTCTCTAACAGTCAGCATTTTAATGTCAATACTTTTAAAACCTTTGTTTTGACCCCTGTACACTGTCTATAGTCTGAGGTATAATCCTTCATACACTCTGATTTTGTTAATAATAAAGGTGCACAAAAAGAGAAAGCAAGCCAGGGAAGTCTCACAAGTTTTAACCTCTGTTAGAAATAATGGGGAAGAAACGGATCAATGATTATAGAATTTAAAAGAATATGTCAAACCAAAAGGAACATGTCTTCAGTTTTCTTAAAGTATATTCTTCAAAGAAAAAGGGAGGGAAATGTATTTACAATGTTTACAGAAGAGATATTTCAAAGAGCACATCATAAACTTGTATCAACTAATCTAAAAATATCCACACCTACTAACTCCTATTCCTACTTCTGGCAACCTGGTCTAAGAAAAGAATACAAAATATGTAAAGTTATGTGCATGTCCAGTGCCACCTTTGTTATAATAGTAAAATCTTGAAAGCAGCATAAAGGGGGATGCGTTAAATACAATGTTGGTAATAGTGTTTGGTGAAATGAGAGATTCCACTCCCCACCTTCTCGCCGGGATTGCCACAGTTGCCAGACTGTTCTCCCGCCATCCTCCAGACTGCTGCCCATGGTACTTCTCTAAGTCCTGTTTCAATCTCGTTTCTGCTCTGCTTAGAATACTTCCACAAGTTCCCACCACCTTCAGGAGAAATTCAAATTAGTACTATCTGGGGCACTTCATAACCCATTCTCATCGATCTCTCCAAGCTCCACGGCTGGTCATTTTCACCCACAAACCTTACTTCGGTCTTGACAAAACTAGTTTTATCATTCCTGTGGCCAACATTGTTTCCTTCTTGCCTAGGCTATTATTGATTATCTAGCCTAACCCAGCGGATCGTTATCTACTCTTTTGGCCGACACTCAAGATTAACCTAACTCTCTGGACAATTTTCTATAGCCACCCCATTCAAAGATGATTAATTTTCTTAAATTCCCAGTGAGAATAGATCCCTTATTAAACATCTAATAAGAAGTTTAAATAAATCCTCTGTTCAAATACACCATAATTATTATCTTCTTCACCACAGTTGGTAAACTGGTCTCAGTGCTTTGTAAAATAATTCTCAATATCATTAAAGTAGCTTTCTTTCATCTACATACTTTTTTTCCTCTAAACAACATTGCAATGATTAGGTTAGCTCAAGTATTGTGATTCCTTAAATGCCACGTCTATATTTAGGTGCCCCTTCTGGAGGTAAGAATCACCACAGCTATAAACCATGGAACTAAGTAGGATCCCCAATATTCATTTGGTCAATCTGTGGTAGACATTATATTGACCTGAACTAGGATAATGGCTGTGGGGATGAGAAAAAAAAAATGAGTATACTACAGATATATTGTGAGGTAGATGTAGCAGTTTGGTGTTTAACTGGATATAGAACTTTACTATATCTTCCTCTATAAGAGAAAGAAAAGAAGAGAGAATGTTAAAAGAAGGAAAGAGGAGGAAAAAACAGGGAGGAAGGGGAGAATTAGGAAAAAGGAAATTGTCAACATTTAATGAGTGCTTTTTAAATGGCATAACTGAGTCTCAAGGAGATTAAGGTCCCTTGAGTGGCAGAATCTGAATTTACAACTAATTTTAAGCCTTGATCTTTCTTATCTGTTCTAGAAGGGAAAGGTGGTCCATTTCGTATCCAGTCTGGGTAAGAAAGGTGGACAGTTCTGGAGCTTCCAAATTCATCTTTCAGGTGGGAGAGGCTCGGACAGTGGGGATATGGAAAACTAAAGTTGTAAGAAGGATGGGACTGGTTTGACAGTGTCATAGCAGAGATTGGGAAAGAGCCAACTCAAGAAACAAAATTGTTGCGTGCCCCACAGGAACGGGACACCTTGAGGTGGTGGCACTAATCCATACTGCACAGGTCAAAATGTTTCTCTAGCAAAGCTCTGTTGGAGACGTGAAAACACAGGGTTGAAGTTGGTGAGGACACAAGCTCAGGAAGACAATGACAAAGTTAAGTTGAGGATATTGGCAGGTAAGAGACTATAATAATAAACTATGAAATCCAAGATAGATAGATAGGAAGTGAAATCAGGAAAGACTGACAAATAAAAATTCTTCAACGGACTGGAGATTCCTAGAAGGTGGCATTTTAAGGGTAAACTTGTGCTTAATCTATTGCTTAGAATAAATTAAAATTTTAATAAATATTTTCTAATGAATGAATGGCAACTAAGGCCTACCATGTTGAAATACAGAGACATTTGACTCTGATCTCTCCTTCATAAAGTATTTCAAATGAGATTTCTTTGAATGGCCAACAGGATCTGGTAGTAACCCAATCAGCTGATGTCATCAAAAGAGTTTTCCTAGAGAAAATATCCCATGGACTCCTTCAAACTTTTCTCAAGAAGGATTTAGAAAAAGCTGCTCCACAGCAAATTTGTCTCTTTACCCCATTAATTCCACCTTTCTTTCTGGATTTTTTGTTTGTTTGTTGTTTGTTTGTTTTTCACTATATTTATCCCCTAAACCACAACTTTTCACCAGGGATATAATTACTCCCTTTAAGATGTGGGCATAATCTTATTTTCTATACCTCCTCATAGCATAACTAAAACATGCTGGTATTTCAAGATAATTTTCTAAACATTATGGAACGATATTAAAGAAAATCTGAAGACATTAAAAAGAACCAATTACAAAATACTTATTCAGTCATAGTAGTTAACTATGTTTGTAGACACTGATCTATTTCAATCTTACTTAAGACCTTGCCCAAAATATTTTCCTTTTTACATATCTGGTTCACCAGCCAAATAAATAAACATCATTTGGAGCTTATTTGAAAACATAAACACTTATTTATGGTCTAGTAAGTGATTCAACCAAATTATTTCTGCAAAGTCCCTTTAGTCTTACACAGAATCAGGAAATCTCTGAGATCATTATGCACAAGGACCAAAAAGACCACCAAGTTACAAAAAATGAGATATTCTTAGGAACTCATTACCCATAGAGCTACTTACCCTGAAAACTAGACCTTCCTCTATATATTTATAAAGAATTTTATTCCTTAAATTCTATTGCATTTTGAGAAATTCCACCTGAATACATGAATCTCTGGAGATTTATTTTGTGCTTTGTCCTTTATTACAAATGCAATAATCCTCAATGCAAAAGTAAAAGATATAGAAACTCATAAAGTAAAATAAAAAACTAAACATAAAACAATAAAAGTTTTTTGTTTTCCCTTAACGTTCAGATTTTTGACAGGTAAATATTTTCAGAAAGAGTCGTTTCTTGTTACTACAAATGATTATTATAATGGCTCATTTTCTAATATAAATTATTTAATAGCTGGTTCTAGTAAAGATTTAAAGTGTCAATATTGATTGGGGCCAAACGTATTTTAAAATATACCAAAAATAGAAATTAAAGAGAATAGTTATTCACATCTCTTGTTGACAAGTGACCTACTGGGACAACTCTACTTTGTATAAAATTAATTCATTAATTCAACAAGTATTTAGTGAATACCTAGAAGACTAGATGCTCTAGGAGAACTAAAGATGAGTTACTTGTTGTTTCATGGAACATAACATAATACATGATAAAAAAAAAAAGGTGTATGCATACATGTTTTATAAATGAGGAAGGTACTACTAGAACCATTTTCCTGATGAGACAGCTATCTCTTAAAGATGCAGTAACTCACCTAATTTCACACCCAGAAAGTACAGAATCCAAATGGATGATTTGAAACTCTACTTTCATTTCCTCATGTTACTTACAAACTTTACAGACAACAAAATACTAAAAACTAAAGATGTTTCCTTTAAGAAATCTAAACGCTGAATAGTTTTATATAAAAGGCAGCAGGAAATTCAAGTCCTTTTTTTTTAACTCTACATTTCAATTTAGCGTTTAGCGGCATCTCTGTCCTTTGAGGTAAAACTAAGCACAGAAGGAAAATGCAGATATTTTTTTGGAAGTTACAGATAATTAGAATTTTACTTAATAGAATGAGCTAAAAATGGCATGGGCTATTTGGGAAAGTGTCATGTTTCTCATCCTCAGGCACACTTGTGGAACGGTTCGATAATCAAATGTCAGGGATCACCAAAGAGTTTCCAGTTCTACCACCAGAGATGCTCACCACTTCTACAATAAAATAGCCTAGATGCAAGTTGGCAGATTAGGTGGCACCCTATCCCCGCTATATATTCACATCCACACAAGAATTACTGAGAAACTGTCATTATAAAGAGCCTCTGTGTGAGAGAGCGTCACAAGGTAGATGATGTGGCTGCTGCTCATGGAAAGAGCTCTGGATCGACACCCGCCCCAGTGAGAGGGCAACATACACAGCAGCTGCTCCAAGCCCAGAGCAAACCTCACCTCTGGGGCAAGTCCGTGCAAAACCCTCCCCAGAGCACTCTGCATGAAATGTGCCTGGCCGATAGTTTCAGAAAAGGGGAAAACATGATTTTCTACAGGTAGAGCACCATGTTATTTTTATAAGATGAAGCTAAATAACAAAGGAAGCAAAGAGTTTGGTCAATTCCCTGAGCTTGGTGATAGTACTGGTCTTATTTAGCATTTTTTATAAGTGAACTGAAAAATAAATTTTCATATTTTCCAGAGAAATTCAGATTTTGCGGCTAAAAATGTATGGATCTGTGTAGAGAGGATCAAAGTAATTTTTGAAAGCTTTGTGGATGGGCAGAAAAGCAACAAATATGCTTCAAAGGTAAGAAAAGATTTGCAGAACATTTTTTTCCTTTTTTTTTATTTTATTGAATTTATTGGGGTGACATTGTTAAGGTATTGCAGAAAATTTTAAATATATATATATATATATATATATATATGAATGAATTCTGTAATACAGTGTGAAATAAGATCCAAAAACATAGAACTGTTGCTAGAGATATCAACTAATAGGCTGCTGCAGATAAAAATACTGGGCCTGATCAAAGAGAATATTTTAAATATGATGGAAGAAGACATTCTATCTTTTAAAAATATAATATGCCTAGAACTAGAATAATAAATATAGTTCTGATCACTGTACCTTAGGAAAATCTTAATGGGCTATAAGTGGATAGATATTTATTTATTTATGTAAATGTATACCACATATAATTGTTGTCATTATTATATCAAAGGGCAAGTAAAGTTCTACTATGCAAAAGAAAAAGTGTCAAACTCTTTAAGGCTGTGAAAGTAAAAACTTGGTGGAGATAACACTGGTCAGTCTACAACACAACACACGCATTCTGGTTTCGGTGAGTGGGCTCTTCACCACTACACATGAAACACAAACCTATTTTTAACATTGAGAGAAGTATTTGAACTAGAAAAAGGTAGAATTAAGGAGAATAAAAATTAATATCAAATGAACTAAAAAATTTGAAATCTGAAAACAGAACTTTGAATCCTAAAGGACGAAACATATTTAAAATATAAAAATAGAATCAGGAAATTTTTATAGAGCTGCACAGAGAATGGCACCAAGAAGGGAAAGTAGGGTAAGTTGGGGCAAGTAAAACTCTCGCCTTGAGTCCTGCCTCTAGAAGGTCAGCATAGCCTCCCACAGAGCTGCATGAATGACCTCACACACACACAGACACAGGCTGCCGAGCAGAACGGACCTCTGGTCTCGCCCCAGGTGGCATGCATTTCTCCTGAAGCATGGAAGCAGCAGCAGCTCACTGTGTCTACCTGTGCAGGTGTTTTCTGGATGAGTCATACGCATCTACAGGGCAGAGAAGACATCTTACCCAACTTGCTTGGCCTAGCACCTAGCTCAGTGCCACACAAGGTTTTTTATAAATACATTTTAATTATTACGATATGTTGCCATTTCTCTCAATTTCACAACCTCATGCACCCATAAGGTCTACTTTTGGGAATAAATATGTGTTTTTTATCAATTTTCTATTCACCACTGCTAAGACTCCAGCTGAACATATAACTTTACAATATGGCTTTGAATAGGAAATCTCAGTAAAATTTTCTTTAGGGAAATACCAAATCTAAGATTAATAACTATTCATTTTTACTGAAGGTTCTGCTGGAGAATTTGTTCTGCTTGGGGAAGTAATCATCCTAGCGGATTTTCTTCACACACTATCTGCCCTTCTGAATCCATCGAGCCTTTGTTCAGCTGCCATGTTTTTGCAGTTAACCTCATGCTGCTACTGCTCACGTTACCAGAGCATCTGGTATGGAACACAGTCTTTGTCCTTTTCCAGACATCAGTTAAGTGGAAAAAAGAATGTCACACACCATCTCCTTCCCTCCTCCCATGTCCTTTCTTCTTGGGAATATGACCCTACTCGGGAAAGCACAAAAGAGGTTATTCAGTGGAGAGTTGGATCAAGTGGATGCCAAGGTTCACCTTTATTACATCTATTAAATATAATGTTTCATCCTAGTTATCAAGGAACTTTTTCACAGAAGAGAATGTCTCCTGCTGTGAAAAATGTGTTCTTTAGAATTATATTGTTGGTTTTTCTATTCTCCTAAGAGAAAATAATCATCATTAGTCTAGACTGGTCTGGAGACAGTGTGACTCTTAAGAGTTTTCACAAATGCTGGGTCACCTGGAATCCTTGGCTAAAATTGTCTGAGGTTGAAGAGAAAATACAGTTCTACCATGAGCTCAGGAGTAGCTAAACCTACTCCAAAGTAATTAGAAATCAAAATTTCATAAAGCTGATGATATGCATAATAATTACTTTCTCTAAGACATCATTTGCAGCTACAAAGTTATTTTTCAATAAATTGCTTGTCTTACACAAACACATCTGTCATTTGATGCCTCTGACAATGGTAGGTCACTACTTGATAAGCCACAGCTACACTCCAGTGAGTCCCTTCTTCACGTAGTGTTACCTCCTTTCCTCACAGAAAGTGCACTCGTGCTTGTCTCCATCCCAAAGCACGCTGCTTATACTCAGTATACATAGCAGTGACCTCATTCTTCCTTAGATTTTTATCTGTCTTCTCCACTAGATGAGGCAGGAGTAAGGATCAGGTCTATTCTCTGTATTACACTATTCTAAATAGTACATAGGTCTACCACTATGCCTTGCAAATAGGTGTGCTTCTTGCATTATATTTTCTTAACTTCATCTAAAGAAAATGCACACCCTCCAAGACTTGACCACAGCATGCCTCCCAGGCTACATTTCAGCTTTTCAGAATAATCTGTCGGCAAAACAAGAGTAGAACTTGGGTACATACACATTAAGAACTATTGAGAAATCCTACATGTTGACAATTGAGTATTTTAATATACTCTAGAGCAGATGAGTGGCTATTTAAAATGCTGAATATTCACCCTGGCTGGTTTGGTTCAGCGGTTAGAGCATAGGACAGCGGTCCAGAGAGACCTGGGTTCGGTTCCCGCTAAGGGCACATACCCTGGTTGTAGTTTGTCCCCGGCCCCGGTTGGGGTCATGTGAGTGGCAGCCAGTTGATGTGTCTCTCTCACATTGATGTTTCTCTCTCTCTCCCTCCCTCTCTCCCTCTCACCCTAGCTAAAGATGAAAGCAAAAATGTCCTCGGGTGAGGATAAAAACAAAAATACAATGAAGTTTCTTTCTCTCTCCCTCTCCTCTTCCTTCCTCTCTCCACAGGAAATCAATAAAAAATATTTTTTAAAAAATTAAAATAAAATGCTGAAAATTTGAAATTGGGTTTTGAAAGGGACCAAAATTTTGCCACCCTGAAGCTTCCTTTTTTAAGATATTGATTTTAGGCTATTTATTAAGAAAGAAAAAAAGACTCAGAAAGAACCCTGGCCCTTCCCCTTTTTCTACCCAAGAGATTCAGAGAAACCTGCTTCAGGAAAGAGATCTTAGGATGTCACCTTAGCCTAATGTGAAATAAGCATGGTACACAGGAGGGCTTCAGGCAGGGCCTGTCAGCTAAATCCCTACCCCCACCCCTCTATGGCCCATTGCTTCTGAGCTGCCTGTCAAGAACTTCTGTGTTCCAGCCCATTCCCATTTCTGTAGTCTAATACCCTTTTTTTCCACTTTTTCTCCTTTGTCCAAAATGTCATATGTATCCAATTTTGCATCACTGTTTGGAAATTTTCATGCTTATGTAAATTCTCCATGTGCGTGTATTAAAATCTGATATTCTCCTATTATTCTGTCTGCTAATTTGATTATTTGCCCAGCTAGAACTTAGAAGGTGGAGGAAAGGTGTTAATTTTTTTTAGCCCCCACAGTTTTTTCAACTTGGATCATTTCACCTCAAGTATTTTTTTTTCCCTCATCCGAGGACATTTTTCCATTTTTTGTACAGACAGAGTGGGAGGGAGAGAGAGGAAGAGAGAGAGAGTGAAACATCGATGTGAAAGGGACACATCGAGTGGCTGCCACCCGCACGACCAACCAGGGCCGGGTACATCCGAGGTATATGCCCTTAGCGGGAACCGAATCCGGGTCTCTCCGGACCACAGGCGGACGCTCTAACCGCTGAGCCAAACTGGCCAGGGCTCAAGTATTTTTTTAAATGTTTGTATTGATTTTGTAGAGAGAGAGGAAGGGACAGAGAAATAGAAACATGGATGTGAGAAACATCTATCGGCTGCCTCCTGCATGCCCCCTTCTGGGGACTGAGCCTGAAACCCAGGCATGTGCCCTGACCAGGAATCAAACTGGGTCATCTCAGTCCATGGGATGCTGCTCAATCCACTGAGCCACACGGGCCAGGCAGCAAAACATTTTTATTAGAATGAGACAAATGCTTTGAGAAAAACAAAGACCGTGCTCTCCATAACAATCAAAACAGGCATAAACATTTTTATAGCATCCTTATGCTTTTGAAACTCAGTGCCTAATGAAGTTACTTTAAATGATTATTAAAACTAAGTGAGCTTTCCTAATGCAAATTCCGGATTTAGTTTTTTATTATATTTTATAAACTCAGAGTGTAGTAGAGAACAGAGTTTCTTCACAAACTTATCCAAAGCAGACATTAAACAAGTATAATCATGTTGCGCTTATTCATACTGGCACTCAAATAGTTGACATACAACAATAAAAAGCTTTTCTGTCAGTATTTTGGTAAATAACATTTTAATTATTAACTTCATACCTCCTGCAGAAGGTCGCCTTCATTATTCATCTCACACTTTTTTATTTAAGTCGCCTTTGGAAACCACAATATCCCCAGCCAATGCATTCAACATGTATTTATATGTATACCCGAAACCAACACTGTAGATGATGAATTCCATGGAGGCTCTTTCCAGAGGGGTCTGGCAGGTAATAAAAGATAAACACCAGACTCTGATGTGTCATGCCCACAGCACAATGTGCTGGAAAAGCACTAGAAAAGTCGAATGACAAATGCTCATTTATGCCTGACTCCCTACAGACAAAGGCATACAAAGCTGAAAACTATGTTGATTGACTTTTCTCCAACATACTGAATTTTTGTTATATAACAATTGTATTCTGGAATGAAATCTATTGTTAGACTCAGATAATGAACTATTATTAGACAATTGCGCAAAGTCCACAGACAAAAGCACAAATGGAAAAAGCTGTCAGTGACCCAGATTTTTACCAATGGCAAAGATCTACTCATTTGCAATTCCCATTTTTATTTCCTTTTTAGGGTCCCTTCTGGCCTCTAAATTAATTCCGGTCCTTCATTATATAACCGCAGCCATCTTTCTTTAGCCTTTCCAATTCTCCAAATGTTAGTCTCTGACAAACCCAGCCCTTCCCAATTGGCCACACTGAGCATAGAATTATCTACAAGCTGCCCTACATGGTCCCATTAACAATTCTAACTCAGTCAGAGGACTAGGGGAAGCTTTCTCAAAGGGAGTTCAAAACTAAGTTTCTGCTGCCTTCAGTTTCCAGTAGTTGAAGGGGGAGGGAAAAGGAGGGAAGAGGGTTTTTTCTGAATGAAATTAAATCCTCTAAGCATTTTCCATATATGAATGTACAGTCTCCATGGCTGGTCACTTTTGTCTGGGACTCGTAGGCCTGAGGAAGCACAGGCCAACACTCGAGCCAGCCAGCCAGGTCCGGCTCACTTGTTCTATTTTGCAGTTGCTCAGTCATTATTTTATGTTTGCTATAAACAACTCTGCTTTTTCCTTTGTTTCTTTGTTCATGTGTCCACGTATCTCTCCCGTTGTCTCTCTATTCTACCTTATGAATTTCATTTTCTTCTCCATTAACTCTCTGTATCTCCTTCTAATCAAACCAAAGTACAGAATTCAAACATACTGTTTATAGCAGTTGCTATATTGCTGACAAATGTTATTGTCTATTCTTTTTTTAAAAATTTATTTTTGTTACAGATGTTTCTCCTTTTTTCCCCATTCCCCCTACCCCGTCCCCAGCTTTGTTGTCCATGGCCATTGGTTATGTGTACGTGCATAGAGGTTCTGTGGTTAATCTCTTCCCTCAACCCTCACCCCCTCTTCTGAGGGTTGTCAGTCTGTACCCTACTGCCACATCTCTGGGTCTACCCTGTTCCTCAGACTGTTATGTTCATTATATTCCACAAATAAGTGAAATCATATGATACTTGTCTTTCTCTGCTTGACTTCTTTCTCTTAGGGTAATACTCTCCAGGACCCTCCATCTCATCTCAAAGGATAATAGATCTTTATTTCTTACAGCTGCATAGTACTCCATTGAGTATATGTACCACTGCTTTTTTATCCATTCATCTACTGATGGACATTTAGGTGGTTTCCAGATCTTAGCTATTGTAAATAGTGCTGCTATGAATATGGGGGTATATATATTCTTTCTGATTGATGTTGCAAGCTTCTTAGGTTATATTCTTAGAAGAGAGATCATTGGGTTAAATGGCAATTCAATTTTAAATTTTTTGAGGTAACACCATGGTGCTTCCCATAGTGGCCGCACCAGTCTGCATTCCCACCAGCAACGTACTAGAGTACCCTTTTCTCTGCACCCTCACTAACACTTCTTGTTTGATGATTTGTTGATGGCAGCCATTCTGACAGGTGTGAGGTGCTACCTAACTGTTGTTTTAATTTGCATCTCTCTGATGATTAGTGATGTTGAGCATTTCTTCATATGTCTCTTAGCCACTTGTATGTCCTGTTTGGAGAGGTGTCTATTTAGTTCCTCTGCCAATTTTTTAATTGGGTTCTTTGTCTTCCTTTTGTTGAGTTATATGAATACTCTATATATTTTGGAAATTAACCCCTTATCTGATGTATCATTGGCAATGATGTTCTCCCATACAGGTTCTCTGTTCTGTTCCACTGGTCTATATACCTGTTCTTGTGCCAGTACCAGGCTGTTTTAATTATAGTAGATTTGTAATATAACCTGATATTCGGTATTGTGATCCCACCTACTTTGTCCTTCTTTTTCAAGATTGCTGTGGCTATCTGGGGTCTTTTTTGGTTCCATATGAACTTTTGAAATATTTGTTTTAGTTCTATGAAATATCTCGTTGGTATTTTGATGGGGATTGCATTGAATATATAGATTGCTTCGTGTAATATGGACATTTTAATTATGTTAATTCTTCCAATCCTTGAACAAAGTACGTGCTTCCACTTTTTTATATCTTTCTCTATTTCTTTTTTTAATGTCCTGTAGTTTTTTGCAGAACAAAAAACTAGGTTCTTTACTTCTTTGGTTAAGTTTATTCCTAGGTATCTTAATTTTTTTTGCTGTGATGGTAAATGGGATTGTTTTTTAAGTTTCTCTTTATGTGAGTTCATCATTGGTGTACAAGAATGCCATCAATTTTTAGATGTTAACTTTGTATCTCGCTACTTTGCCAAATTCATTTATTAAGTCTAGTAGATTTTTTATAGAATCTCTAGGTTTTTCTATGTATAATATCTTGTCATTCACGAATAATGACAGTTTCACTTTCTCCTTTCAAATTTGGATCTCTTTTAATTGTTCTTCCTGTCTGATTGCTGTGGCTAAAACTTCCAGTACTATGTTAAATAAGAGTGGCAAAAGTGGGCATTCCTGTCTTGTTCCTGTTCTTAAGGAAAATGCTTTCAGTTTTTGCCCATTGAGTGTAATGTTGGCCATAAGTCTTTCATATATGGCCTTTATTATGTTGAGATATGATCCCTCTATTCCCTCATTGCTGAGTATTTTATCAGAAATGGATGCTGGATTTTGTCAAATGCTTTTTCAGCATATATTGATATAATCATGTGGATTTTATCTTTCATTTTGTTTATGTGGTGTATCACATTTATTGATTTGCAAATATTGTACCATCCTTGCATCCCTGAGATGAATCCCACTTGGTCATGGTGAATAATTTTTTGATGTATTGCTGGATTCAATTTGCTAGTATTTTTTTCAGGATTTTGGCATCTATGTTCATCAGGGATATTGGCATGTAGTTTTCTTTCTTTGTAGTGTCTTTTTCTGGTTTTGGAATTAGAATTATGCTGGTCTCATAAAACAAGATTGAAAGTCTTCCTTCTTCTTGAATTTTTTGAAATAGTTTGAGGAGAACAGGTGTTAGTTCTTCTTTGAATGACTGGTAAAACTCCCCTGTGAAGCCATCCAGGCCTGGGCTTTTGTTTGCTGGGAGAGTCTTGATTACCTCTTCAATTTCCTTAGTTGTTATTGGTCTGTTCAAGCTTTCTATTTCTTCCCAGTCCAGTTTTGGGAGACTATGTGTTTCTACAAATTTGCTCATTTTGCTCAGATTGTCGAATTTGTTGCCATATAATCGTTCATAGTATTTATTAACAATCCTTTGTATTTCTGTGGTGTCACTTGTTACTTCTCCTCTTTCACTTCTGATTTTGTGTATGTATTTGGGTTCTCTCTCTTTGTTTCTTGGTGAGTCTAGCTAAGGATCCATCAATCTTGTTTATCTTTTTGAAAAACCAGCTCTTTGTTTCATTGATACTTTGAATTGTTTTTTTGGTCTCTATGTCATTGATTTCTGCTCTGATCTTTACTATTTCCTTCCTCCTGCTGGCTCTGGGGTTTTGTTTGTTTGTTTGTTTGTTTGTTTGCTTGTTTGTTTGTTTTCTAGTTCTTTAAATTGTGAGGTTAGATAGTCTATTAGATATTTTTCTTATTTCTTGAGGTAGGCCTGTATTGCTATGAACTTCCCTCTCTTAACTGCTTTCACTGCATCCCAAAGATTTTGTGTTGTTGTGGTCATTTTCATTGGTTTCCAGGAAATTTTCAATATCTTCCTTGATCTCCTCAGTAACCCATTCATTGTTTAATAACATGCTTTTTAGCCTCCATGTGTTCGAATGTCTTTTCACGCTCTTGTTATGATTGATTACTAGTTTCATGCCATTGTGATTTCAGAAGATGCTTGATATAATTTCAGTCTTCTTGAACTTGTAGAGACTTAGTTTGTGTTCTAACATGTGGTCTATCTTTGAGAATGTCCTATGTGCACTTTAGAAGAATGTGTATTTTGTAGTTTTGGAGTGTAATTCTCTGTAGATATATATTAAATATATTTGGTCTAGTGCTTCATTTAGAGTCTCTGTTCCCTTGCTAATTTTTTGTCTAGAGGATCTATTCGGTGATGTCAGCAGGGTGTTGAAGTCCCCTGCTATGATTGTATTGCTGTCGATTTCTCCTTTGAAGTCCTCCAGAAGATTTTTAATATATTTTGGTGCTCCTATATTGGGTGCATATATGTTTACCAAGGTTATATCTTCCTTTTGGATAGATCCTTTTAATATTATGTTGTGCCCTTCTTTGTCTCTAGTTGTGGCCTTCATTTTGAAATCTATTTTATGAGATATGAGTATTGCTACCCAAGCTTTTATTTCCTTTCCATTTGCTTGAAAGATTTTTTTCCAACCCTTCACTTTCAACCTATGTGTGTCTTTTGTTGTGAGGTGGATATCTTGTAAACAACATATACATGAGTCATGCTTTCTTATCCAATCAGCTACTCTGTGTCTTTTGATCGGAGCATTCAATCCATTTACATTTAAGGTTATTATTGATATGTATTTATTTATTGCCATTTTTGTTTAGTGTGGTTATATTTTTCTTCCTATTTCTTCTACTAATCACAGCAGTCTTTTTAACATTTCCTGCAGTGCTGGTTTTCTGCTAATGTATTCCCTTAGCCTTTTTTGTCTGGGAAGCTCTTTATTTTACCTTCTATTTTAAATGATAGCCTTGCTGCATAGAGTAGT